GATTGTCAAGTTTTGACTGTAGCAGCGATTTTTGTCTGTCGCTTAGGGCAGTGTTTTCATCCAATTCTTTCTCCAAACCTGATATTTCTTTGTAAAGGATATCCTCGAGGGACTTAGTTTTGTAGTTTTTAGCTGCTGCATTTGCAATCGATTTTTCTCTTACTTTCATTTTGATCATATCCCAGAGCAGGGCCGGATTAACCGAGTTGTCAGACTGGTATTCGCTTTTTGTTTGGTAAATAGTTGCTTTGATTAAGTTCAAATATTCCTCCTCTTTCAAGAGAGAGGTGTTTAGCTTCCAAAAGCCCCTTCCTCTTGGGTTGTAGTGTAAGGCTATTTTAAGCAATATCATTGAATGATCAGTTTTGTACCCGGGCACAATGTCTGCCAGGTTGGTATCACAGATTAAATCTGAGCTTATTAAAAAGAAATCAAGTCTGCATTGAATTTCTGGCTTCTTCCGGCGCCATGTGTATCTGTGTTTATCAGCGTTCAGCGTTCTCCATATATCAGTTAAGTTAAGTTCTTCGCAATTTTGATTGATTATTTTCAAAGCATTTTGGTAGGTTCTGGGAAGGCCGCCCTTCTTATCCTCCTTAACATCCAACACGAGATTGAAATCACCTCCCAAAATTATTTCTTCGCACGCAAAATCGTGTAAGTGATCAAAAACTTGTTTAAAAAAGGACGGGTCGTCTTCATTAGGAGCGTAAATGTTTGCCAGGGTGAAACGTTTTTCGTCAGTTTTAATATCGCATACAATATAACGTCCGGAGGGGTCCGAAAAGGTTTTCAAAATATCAAATTTAAAATTGTTGTTAAAGAGAATACAAACGCCTGCTGAGCTTCCTGAAAAGCAACTAAAGAGCGCTTTATAGCCCCATTCAGATCTCCACGTGTCAATAGTTGCCTCCGTACAGTGTACCTCTTGTAAAAAGATAATTGATTGTTGCTTGTTTCTGAGCCAGTTGAAAGTCTCTCTTCTCTTGTTATTTTTTCCTATTCCCCTGACATTCACAGATGCACTTTTTAGTTCAGCCATTACTACAGTTAATTGCAAGGTATTGTTTTAAATAGTAAACCAGCAAAGATGAGGTGTTATCTGTTTGATTTGCATCTTTTGAGCAGAAGCGGTATTTCGAATGCAAAACTGTTCGGGTTGATTTCCATAAACAAACATTTGTTGTGCGAAGTTTCATAGAATCAAGATTAGAAGATTTTTCAAAGAAATTAATTATAGATCTGTAGGACACTTTTTCCCCGACAAAAAGAAAAGGAAAACATACATGTAAATGTACACACCAAAAGAAATAAAAAAGATCACTGACTGAGCGCGGCATTTGTATGGAAAAAACTAGCTTGCTTCGTTTCGAGAGTAGAGAAGGCAAGCAAAGTTTAAGAAAAGAGATGTATTCCGAACAGAAGCGTGTTTTCCGTCCCATCCACCTATCATAATTTCGAGTAAAAACAAAAATCTTCAGGTGAAATAACGGAATTAATTTGTTAAAGAAAAAAAAAGTTAAAGTTAAAGCGTTAATGTTTAAGACTTGTGTTATTAAACTCACAGTTCTAATGGCATTCCAAAAGGCCACAATTTCCCTCTTATGAACAGTTTTTCAGGCTGGGCTTTGCTGAAAGCTGCGGGAATGTTGTTGCGTCTTGCCTTTTTGAAGGTTTCCATTTGCGCTCTCCTACGTTCGACGATCTCAAACGGAAGATCTTGGTACATTTTGTAGTTTGTTCCTCGTAGACGATGTCCCAGCGAAAGAGGCTTTTCACAATCCTTATATCGTAAGAATCTAGCAAGTATGGGTCTGGAACTTTCTCCTCTCTTTTTTCCTAGACGATGAACTCGCTGTATTTCAACATTGGCAGCGTCGCCAAAACCCAATTCCGTTTCCAGAAAGGTGCGCAGCGCCATCTCCGTGTCCTCTTTGTTCGTTTCTTGTTCTGGAATGTTTTCAAACTTAACGTTTTCGCGCCTAGAATATGCTTCCAGATATAAGTTCTTATCCTCGATCAGTTTAAAATTGGCACGGAGTTCATCATTCTCTTTCTGTAGGGCCGCTAGGCTCGATTTTGTGCTGTCTTCGAGTTTTTGTATTCTCTCGGATGTCGTCTTTTTATCTGTTTCGTTTGCGTTTAAACTTTCCTTAAGATCTTCAACATCACGCTTGGTGGTAGCGTACGCATCTTCGAGAGTATGTATTCTTCCTTCTAACTTCCCGAAAGACTTCCCGAGGTTATTCACTGCTTCTTCGATGGCATCCAGCTTTTCAAGCTTCTTAAGAATATCTTGCAGTGGTTTTTGAAGGCCTTCAGCCATGTTCAGAGCAGATAGAATAATATCGTCACCTTCTTCTTCGCGTTCGCCTTCGGAAGAATTAGAACTATCACACTCTTTAAGTTTCTTTGGTTCTGGCGAGGTATCTAGAGAGCTATCGGAGGATAGCTGTCTTGTTCTTCTTTTACTTAGCAATAGCTTAAAAAATTCTTCCATTAAATCATCTACGGCAAAAGAGTAGTGTTATTAGGCGGACGGTCTTTCGGCACGTCTTCACACCGCCATTGCTTCCCAGTCTTCTCTCTCAGTGGATGTTACTGAATAACATCCTTTGAATGGCCCCAGATCACCAGGCTGTGTATCTAGGTGACAATTATACATTATCACTTTCCTTATTGAATGCATGTACAGTGTAAAAATCGCCATACTTATATTTCACACTTGAGGCCAGTCCAGTGTCCAAAATGGTAGGGGGCTTGCCATCTTGGTCGGTTTAGCTGAATAGCCGAGGGACTGCCCTAACAGTGGGTGGGTGGATCAGGCCTGGGGGCCAAAATTAGTGGCGTAGGGAGGGGGCTATTTTGACACAACCCCTTCATTAAGCAGCAGTGTTCACTAGAGGCTTTGACTGGCAAGTACCTTGTTCTTAATTTGCCCTAGCCACTGAGCTGAATCAGGCCTCTGCTGAGAATGATAATGTTAATAGCCTTAGTCTCTATTTTTATATTTTGCACGCATTGTCCGGCGTCGAATAGCCTTGCTAGCTGCGGGCAATACTTCTTTAAGTATATTTTTTTATTAATAGAGTTTTTTTGTTGTTGTTGTTGTTGGTGATAATTGCAGAGCTCAGTGGCAGGCACAGACAGTCACCCATTGTCCTGGGTGGGGAGGGTCAAAATCTTGGTATCAAGGACACACTTAGCATAGGACCTGTAGACACTCACTGAAGCCATGTTGACATAAATTTTGTCGGATTTATTTATTTATTTAGGCTTACTTATTTTATGCTTTGTAATTAAGGTGGCAAATGAAAATGTGCTTAAACTGTGCGTTTTGGTTCGAAGCCATTGATACTATGAAGTCTTCGTCTACATGATATCTGCAAGTTAGAAAGGTTGCCTATCAGGTCAATGGGTTTGTTCAAGAATTTTTTTAATAGTTACATTTCTTTAACAGTACATCAATGAATGAATGGTGGAATCAATATTTTTAATTCAACTTAAGTAACCCCTCAGAGTTTTGACTTGGCTTCTTGTTGTTTCGTCAAAAATATGTTCTGTAAAAACTGAAAGGGGAGGGTCCAAAGAATGTGGAAATAGTATCTTCCCATCGGCATTAGCCCTTCCCTCTCTGTAAATAGTCCCCACTCCCAGTTTTCTTTGGGATCTTGCTTGAATGTTAGTTTATGAGTGTACCTTAAAGCCTCTTCTGCTGTAATTTTTCCTTCAATTTCTTTCACGGTAAAGGCATGTCATTCTAGAAAAAAAGAAAATGCTCTGTTATTCGATCAAGTAGAGCAGATGCCATTTAATTTCATGAAGCAAAAACAAACATGGAAAAGTAATATTATTCAACAGTAAGATTGTTTTTCCTTGTTTGATCATCATTAAACTTCCCTTGAGTTTTCTTGTGCATTAATTACTGACTGTGTGATTTGACTGGTGGATCGATTTTTGGTGCACTCTCGATCCTCCTTTCTCCCTCTATATGTAAATTTGTTTTCTTATTCAGTATCAAAGTGTTGACCAAATTACCCTGGAATCATGCTGCTTGTCAAAGGCATCTGTTCAACTGAAGTGCCCCGTACAGTGGCGGTTCCAGACCTTCAGATAAAGGGGGGGGGGGGGGGGGTCATCCAGACCCTGAGATTTTGAGACCAGTTTGGTCTAAAAATAAGGGGGGGCACCTCCCCTAGATCGACCACTGCCATAGAGAGAGGAGTATTTGCTATAGCTATGATCTATCATGTGGGCAACTATTCTGCAAAGAATTTAAGGTCTGATTTGACCAATCTATATGGATGTTTGTTACCAAGAAAAGATGTCTTTACTTACAATAGTTTGGATTAATGCAGATTTTTAACATTCGAATTAATTGCTGTGAACCCAGATATTTAGTGTCTGTTAGTAAGAGGTGCATGTAAGCTTAAAGGAGGTGTCGGTTAACAGAGGTTCTGTACAGTATCTGATGGAAATTGGGATTTTTTCCCCTACTCAAGGTCTGTGCAAACTAAATGTCATACATGTTAATGCTACCATTTACAACAGTAGTTTAAGAACATGAGTGATGTTCAGAATACTGAAAGTATAAATATATTTCTTTGTCTAACAATGTAAATTATAATAATTATAATCATTACTATTACATTATTATGGTATCAATCACAGTGAAACCTCTATTAAGTGGGCACCTTCGGGACCTTCCCAATTGTCTGCTTAATAGAGGGTGTCCGCTTAATAGAGGTTTTAAAAATTGCACAATGTTTGTTAACAATCAACATTTAACGGTTACTCTGTACTGTGAAAAAGTTGCAAGTTGTTAAAGAAGTTCAAGTTCATTACCTTTCATTACCAACTTTAATTTGTTTGTAAATGCAAAAACATTAACTGACTTCAGTACGTATTTCAAGGACGTAATCCAATACTACTATTGTCAATTCAGTCCGGTGTCTGCTTAATAGAGGTTTTTAACAATAGAAATTAGCCAAATACAACTTATTTTAATGTCCGCGTCCGCTTAATAGAGGTGTCCGCTGAATAGGGGTTTGTTATAAAGGGAAATATCAGACGTCCATCTCGGGACCCGGCTAAGTGTCCGCTGAAGAGAGGGTGTCCGCTTAATTGGGGTCTGCTTAATAGAGGTTTCACTGTAAAATATTATAGTTATTGCTATTGCAAATTGTGGCAATACTATGCAAAATATGCTTACCATGCAGACAAACTCAGCCATGCATTGTCACAGCATTTTTTTTAAAAGGGAAGTGCCTTTAATGTAAATAATAGGGGGGGCTTGCCCCCACCCCCCTTCCCTACCACTACTGCAGCCATGTTTCTCAACCCAAAATTGGTCAAGTGGAAATGTTAAGATTTTATTGAACACCAGTTGTAGCATCCAGGGCGCACGTTTTCTACCCTCCGACGACTCAAGAAGCACCATGAAGCAGGATTGTTTTAGCCTTTGTTTGAACAACTGGCTACTTATGCATACGCGGCCAACTGTCGATTGCGGATTCTATGGACACTATTAAGATCTCAAAGAGGTTTGCTTGTGCCAACGAACTAAGCAATGACATTTTTGGGAAATTGGAGTAGGGCTATGGTCAATGGCCCACTTTGTATATAACAGTGGCGGATCTAGGGGAGGAGCCTGGGAAGCCGGGGCCCCCCTCTTATTTTTAGACCAAATTGAGGCTGGGCCCAAAGGGCCGAAAAAATTTTTTTGAAGACCGCCGCCCCTTATCTCAGGGTCTGGATGACCGGGTGCCCCCCCGTTATCTGAAGGTCTGGATCCGCCACTGTATAATAATATAGCTACTACTCACCTGTGCCTCTAAAGCCTTTACTTGCCTTGTAGTCCTTGTAGAGGGAAAATTTTACGGTATTTCGAGCCTCAAAATCTTGGATTAGCTTTGTGCTTCTTCAGCGGATGAAACAGAATATAAATTATCAGACAACTTAGTGCAAGAATGGCTTTCCGTTGTTTAATTCTGGTAGCTTTATTTTGCCGTCTTTCTTTTTCTACTCGTTTTTCTTGTGTGGATGTTTTGTGTAGCTGTGTATGGTGTGCAGTACCTGAACCTTTAATATAATCATTTATTAATAACCTAAGTGAGGCTCCCCTATCTTTTTAGCCCTCAATAGTTATAATGGGCAGCCTGTACTCTCTCTATATATTTATCTAATTTTTTTGTATCATGTAAATCAATGTAGGGTACAGCTGGGTACAAACAAAGTTGTTGTTGTTGTTCCTGCAAGCATTCATTATTATTTGACAGAGACAGACATTTAATACACACGTGGATGATTCTCTATTTTTTATATTCCCGCCAATATTTGAAAAAGTTGTTAAACTGGGCAGCGGTTCATTTGAGTTTTATTTTCGTGTTCGTGTAATTTATTCATGAATGCCATTCGATCCGGGGCCATTCAAGGGATGTTACTCAGTGACATCCGCTGAAAGGACCTTGTTGATGCGCTAAGAGGCTTGATCGAGGCGAAATATTAAAACATCCTCTCCAAACAGATGCAGTGGCATCTTCATGGTTGAATCAGTCGAGGGATGATCGAAAAAGCAAGACAAGACCTCGAAACAAACATCAGATCTGATCATCAGAAGATCGAAGCGAAGCTCAATACATGAGTCACAGGAGGAACCACGAAGCGAGCGTGACGTCATACGTTTACGAAATCCGACCGAAGATAAGAGGGCCTTTCGACGGATGTTAACGAGTGCTGACCATCGGCAGCCCGAAAGTTTCACTGTCAAAATTGCAGTTTTTGTGAGACCTAGAATTTTTAAATGGCAGTGGATGTAAAAGTGTGACTGAGGGAAAGAAAGGCCATGTTCTGTTTGAGGTTAATTTCACGCACCACGTTTCCTCGAGTTTTTGGATCTTCGGTTGATTAGCATGGGACAAGGCGCAATGCCACTTGAAAAGAACGGGAAAACGCATTTGAGGTAACAAAAATTATCGTTTCAGTACAAATGTCTTTAATACATGTGCGATTGTGAGTTAAGTTTCTTTTGGAGAGCCCAGCCATTGTGACTTGTCGAGCAACAACCAACCGACTTTCTTGAAAAGTCTCATATTTCAAGCAAAATTTATTCAACTTCCGAAGTACAAATTTAATTACCCAGGCCAATTCTTACATATGTTTTAGCACAATTAAATGTTTAAATAACAAATGACTTGAGTTTCAGGTAAAACCAAGGTGTAGCACACTCTCAGCCTAAATTTAAATTTCGTTTAGTTGAAAAAGAACCCAAACTAAAATAACATTGTCTATCTTCCAGATTATCGTTAAGATAAGAATTCATCACCAAACCAGAAGTAGAACCCTTTATAAATTCATATATCGGGAAATATTTTACCCCGCTTTCTTCCTGTGTGCGTGCGAGCGAAGTTTTGAGACCGCCTGATTTGCCTCAAATTTTGGTTGTTTTCCAGTCGCCGACCATGAAAATTGATTTTATCGATTTTCTCCAAATCCAAGCGG